TAAAGACCCTGGCGTTGATTTATGTTTCACGGGACTTAATCACCATCATTTAATATCATTTAAACCTTGTTTACCGTAAACAATATGGAGATATTATGATGCAACACTTCGGTTTGATGATTATAGGCGGTTGTACTGCCCAATCTGTTTGAGATAGGATAGTCCATGATGGGAGTTAACATGAAAAACAATGGATATAATGGGATATATTGCGGGTACAGTGGGGCTGGCCACTTCTATTCCAAGCAAACATGGAGTAAGAATAGAACCTAGCAATCATCTCGTCTTGAGTTTTTAAGTATCCGATGCTGGTGTTCTGTCCGAACCAATGATATTTTAGACATGCGTCTGAAGGGGGATCTTCGTCATTCCGATTGCGTCACGGACCGAGTGTCAAGATGCATCCATGGTCTTTGGAAAGTCTGTGAATAATGACTCATGATGAAGACTCTGAGCCGTGTTACATAAGAGTACCACCAAAATTGACAAGACCACTACCTGTATTGTGACAACTGGTTGAAGTTGAAAACAGTGGAATTACACTCACTAGACATCGCATGTTTGAACACAGACCCTCAAGTGATCATACAATTATATGTTTCAAGAAATAAGACGAAAGGCCTTGCAGCAGCCATGTCGAATTTTATCACTCCACAAAAACTCCAATTCAGAACCCACGTTCCCTCCGCCAAGTCCGAAGTCTGCACCATGCTCTGATGGAATCGTTGCCTCAACAGGTCGCATGTTGCCTTTCTGACCTTGCCAGGAGCAGTCGATTTCCCCCAACACAGTGGTGTGCAACTCCCTCATCACAGCGTGCGAGCTGCTTGACGTGGACATGTGGTGGCGAAGTGGCTCGAAATGATGGATCATATGGATCCTTGAACCAACCATTTTAGGGCCTTCTGGTATAGTTATGACATGTTATGATTCATTTGATGGCGTACACAAATAGTGTGAATCTTAGTATGATGAGTCACTAACCATGCAATATACCCTTAAGCTCACCATAGTTGCAGTAAATGACTCGTTTGATGATGGTGAATATTCTATTTGTCCAGAACCTATGGTACTAATTTATCATAATTACGGCCATGATCGGCCATGTATCTACTCCCATATACCTCCTCCATTTGATCATGGTATATGTAAGTATGTTTTGTCTCAACCTCAACCATGGACTCAGTATCGGTATTAACCAAACATGGTGGCCTTACTTTGATGGTCTTGCCCATACTTGGACCAAGATGCGAGAGAGTTTGCAACACATTGCTTCTTCATTGGCATGCAATGATGGTTAGTTGATTCAATGTCTCTTATGGGTCACAATACTATTTTCCCACGTGTAACATATATAAATATATACTAATATTGATATATATATATATATATACGTATATAATATGTATATATATATATATTTAAATAACATTACTGTAACATCTATCTGATTTGTCATTTCCAAGCTCCAATCATTTCGCACTGAAGTCCGGCCTCGTTTCTGACATGGTCGAAGTGAATCCAGGAAAGGGTCGCAATGGCCCAGATCTTTGGTCTTTCTCCAGTCACTGACTTCACCGACGGTGGTCTCCTATAACGACGCTTGGTGAAATGGAGATGTTTTGATCCCATTCTATCCCAACTGTGACTGGTTGATTTTCTTGGACACATTGTCACCCAGCTATAAGATCTATAAGTCACAGAGAGTGATCGTTCTAGTCCCACTTTCTCTTTAGGCATGCATCAGTGCGTGCTCTCGGGATCAACAAAGTCGCCTCGCGCTGACCCTCGGTAGTCTGGGTGTTTCTGAAAAAAGGGGGTGCCCTCCAACCAGCCACTTCACCGGGGAAAACGATGATATACCCTCTGGTAAACTAACGTAACTATGGAAAATCACCATTTTTAATGGGTACATCCGGGTACATCCACTATAAATGGCCATGTTCAATAGCTATGTAACAAATTACCAGAGGGTAACCATTTTTTCAGTGAGGATACCATGGTTTTTCGGATAGATCCAGTTGGAAATCATGACAAAATTCGCTCATCCATGTGGACCGCATCAGATGGGATCCAAGCCCCCCGACCTGTTATGGCAATTTAACAGGGACCAGTGGATGACTATGACCAGTGGATGGAATGGAGTACCCACGTTTCAGACAACCAAATATGTATGTCGAAGGTTACTTCCATTTGAGGGGTGGGTGAGAATTGCTGATCCTGCACATTGCACAGTTTCACACCACAAGCAACAATTCTGCAACAGGCATGTCTACAATGTATACCGTATACCCAAATATACCCAATAAATTTTGGTGGTGTAACCTTTCAAGAAATCAGACGTGTTAGCAGAATTCATGTTTGACATTAAAAAAGAAAACAACTTGTGCGTGTCTGAAATGATAGGGTACTGTAGCATTCCATCCACTGGTTCATCATCATGTTCTCCATGAATGGCTGGCTTGAGGATTCTTGAGGCACCCCCCCGTTTCAGGACAATCCCCATTCTGTGTAGCATCATGGTATTCCAATTTTGCAGTCTATCGCTATAGAACAATGCTCATACAATCACAATTTATTGATTTATTGTTCCTCTGATGGGGCTAAAATCCCCATCATCCCCATTTACTGTGGTTAGACATATATATATATACATAATTATATATATATACCGTATACCCTCTTGTAATTTCACACAGCTATTGTAAACGGTGATTTACAGTTGATTTACCTATAAGAAATCAGAAAAGGTGATTTTCCGAAGCAAACTGCTGGTTTACCAGAGGCTATTTGAAGATGTCCTAAGTCATGGGAGTACTTAGTACACCCTAATTTCATTATGTAGTTATCATCCATAGATGGATAATCTATGGACAGCCCCATAGAGTGATCAATTCCCATTCGACCCAATGGCCCAAGGCAACTCTTCGACGAGATGTCATCCATGCGCGTTCCCCCGACGCTGGTCACCTACAATGCCCTGATCCACGCCCATGCGAGTTCCTGGTTTCGAGCCCGGGGCAAGGTGGAACCCTCAAAAAACTACCCGCAAAAAACGACGAAAAATCAGAGAGATCTCATATATATATATATAAATCAATAAAATTCCAGAAAAAGGTAGATGTATGAAATGTGTGTTTTATGGGCGATGGGAGCTGATCCTGGGTCAAAAGGCCGGAAATCTTCGCACAAATACAGAGGTTTTAATGGGACACACATTCAATGGGGGATTGTCCATTGCCATGTTTGATTACCGGAGGGTAAGAATGATGTGTGTGCATCCGATCTTTTTCTGTACTACTTGTTCCTCTTATAAGTTTGCTCTGGGTCTGGTTTTTGGTTGTTTCGATGTTACCCGTTGCTTCGATGTATGAGACATGTGTATTTCAATAGAATGATTCAGAAGGAATATTGACAAACATCTATCCACATTTACCCCATGAGCCAGTCTCATGTATATACTGTATACTGTATAAGTGATTACACCATATGATAGTTCTACGGGGGTTGATATATGAATCTTGTTCATTTGGACAGGACTACAGTCTCAGTTTGAAGCGGGTAACCCTGCTTGTTTCACTTTGTGCCATCCGTGCCCACCATCATGAACTCGGGATGTGTCCTGCGGGCCAAGCTGTGCGACGTGTGTCCAAGCGGGTACTTCTAATGGTGTTCCTTTGTATGTAGCGACCTCCAACATTCCCCAACAAGATACAACATTCATAGATCATAGTTTATCACTATTTTAGTGGGATGTTTCTTTTCTATATTTTGGGGGGTTACTACTAATAGGTATATACTGTATATGTATCATACTGACTTATTGCTATAGCCTCTAGGCCTCTGGGTGAGAGTTTCATTCATTTTTCGGTTTTTCATGGTGAATGTTGCAACTGTGCGAGTTGATGGGTGAGATTGCCTTCTGAAGCTGCCCCAAGACGGCTTGAAGTTGATCCTGCCTGGTTTCTGTTGGTCATGGGAATCACATCCCGCTGCAGGAAGCTCACACGGCTCACACGTGGACAAGATCACGGCTTTCATTCAACAGATGAAGGACCGCAAAATCGGCCTTCGGAGCTTTGGAACATTTTGGAACGGTGAATCCAGAGGGGAATTCATGGTGCTTTGCCAATTCCCCCAGCATATCAGGCCTAACAACGTTGGATTGTTCAATTGCGTTGGTGGGATGATTTCTAGGCAATTGATGCGGTTGCTGAGCGCAGGATCAATCCTTGCAAGCAGATACTATCACAATGAACGATGCTTGCTCTGAAAGAGGCGCAGCAAGTACTCAAAGGGGCACAGTGGCTCTAGATAAGAAGATGCGACACAACGAAGCAGAAGAAGTATCAGTTAATGTCCCATGGTCCTTCGAGCATTTTTGTCAAGTCCCATCAAGTCCCACTAAGATCCCGGTCGTTCAACACTTGGAGTTTGAACCCACCCTCCCCAGTATCGAAGGCAGAGGCTGCAGCATATCAACACAAACGCGTCAAAGTACTGCCCATCGCATGGGCAAGTTGAAACCAATGGTAGAGTCTGTATGAAATTTTAGGTATGCCCCCTTAAATGGTAATTTTAATAGGGATAATCAATGATAATCATGACTAACCATTGGATTTAGGGGTACCACATTGGCAGCAAATGAATGGTCCTGAGAATCAGAATGGGCCGGTTAGACCATCATGTCATGGATCTAGAGTCACCTGAGTACTGTTTTGCTAGTTCACCCAAGATGTTTCTGTAAAACCGGGGGGATCTTTGAGGGTCTTTGTCCCTGTGTGCGAGAAACACTCACACATGATTGGAGAGGGATTTGGATATGTTTACTGCAATGTTCAGTCCCTATCTGGGGGTTTCTTCATACACTTTACCCTCCTTTTTTACCCGTGATGTGGAAAACCCACCATTTGTAGATCATGTTCCTATTGAAAACATTGGTTCTCCACATCTATGTTACACCGTGGGGATCCCTGGGGTACTGCGCTTTGCTTGAGGGTCACATCCTCCCAGCGCTTCCAAGGGCCTCCTTAGCGCGTTGGAGAAGCGCTACAAGTGGCGGGAAGCCCTCCATGCAGCCTTCAGATTGCCCATCTTGCGCGACGTTTCTGGGTGCACGCTGTTTTTTTTTTATAGCTATAGGGAGCCAGGGATGACAAGAACCAATGGCAAACTCGGAGACTGCAATGCTAGGGTTTGTTGTGATGGTATGAAGAGAAAACCAAATGGCTTCAAAACTGCACTTCATTGTGCAAACAGACCTGAACAAGATCCATGACAACACGAAGCTTGGCTCAGGGATTGCAAGGAAGATACGCTTTGCAAATATGGAGCGCAGTGTAATTACTGAGGGTTATCAGAAAAGTCTGGTATTTCGAAGACTCTTGGAAGTAAAAATCAAACATTCAGAATCGGAAAGTCTGGTCTCGACTAGTCTCAACTTACCCTGTTAGATGATGATTCATTCATCAGAAAATCGGGTCTCAGGTTTCCCTAGAGTATTGTTTAGTCTCAACTTACCCTCCCTCGAATTCTTTAGATCATGGACCATTTTTGTTTAGATCACGGTTGAGTTGGGGAGTGCACTCTTCCAAGCGCAGCAGCTGGAGGTCATCAGCTTCAACGCCTTGATCAGCAGCTGTGAGAAGGGTCAGCAGTGGCAGCTGGCTCTGTCCCTCTTGGGTCGGATGCAGCAGGACCCACGTGGGAAACTGTGAGGAAGCTGGCTTCAAGTGAGTGATTGAAGCAGGAAAAGGAAGGGAAAACATGGGAATAGCATAGGATAGCACCATAAAACTATTGATATTTGATGATATGTGTATATATTTGTTATTTGTTATTTGGTCGGAAAGCCTGCAATCTACTCAAAAATCGTGGCAGACAAAGCTGAGCCGGCGAGCCAAGGGGGGTACTGCCACAACCCCAAAACGTGCTGTCATTCACAGGGAAGACCCCGGAATTGACCGAATCATTCGATCATTATCACATATTATCACCATTATCCAATTTGACACCTTGCAAAACCAGGAACACTTGCAACCGAATGTGATCACATACAGCGCTGCTATCAGTGCTTGCGAACAGGCCTGTGTTGGGAGTCCTGGGAGTGACAAAGGCAGGGCATGGCCACAAAATAGACCAGCAGACTACAGGGATAAGTTTACCTGGCTACCAAGATTAGGGGTTGGGTAAAGCCTTCAACCCGGCCTGATTGTCCAAGAGAAGGATTTGGCAAGTGTTCCTCCTGATCTCAATTTTGCAGCTAATGTTCCCATTGATGTTGACACAGCAAGTGTATCCTCCGAATAATCATCTATAATTTTGGTCCAGCATTTCTCGAAACATCAATGATTCAATCAGCACAAACTCCGCCAAATAAAGATGGCATAAATATATAACTCATCCATGTTTTATGGCAATTCCTCACCAAAAAACGATCAAAAATCAGATGTTGAACATTGATAGCATCCCATTGGATGGTCATTCCCCATTTTCCGAGGCCATTTCTAATGGAAGTGTGTGGCCAATTTTCAGAACCACTATGGAGGTACAGCAGTGGAGCATGGCGCTGCAGCTGCTGAATGAGATGCGTCAGAGGTTTGTGCCGCCCAACGTCGCTCGGTTTTTTTTGCTTTCAACTGCTTGGGCGATAAAATTGGTGAGTAGAACATGGCAAAACCGGAGATATTACTGGTTGGTGGTTTGGAACATTTTTTACGATTCCATATATTGGGAATAATCATCCCAACTGACTTTCAATTTTTCCAGAGGGGTTGAAACCACCACCAACCAGATTACGATAGTAGAAGGGTGTAGAACGACAACTCAGCAAGACCCAGTTGCCCGCTTTTGTTTGAGAATAGTTGGATCAATTTGAATGATGATGAATGTAGGGGGTAACCATCCAAACATGGCCAAAAGATGCCAAAAGTTTAAGGTTGATGAATTCCTAAACCCAAAAGCCTATAGACCATCCACATGCCTTGATTATTCTTGGTGGACAAGATTAATTTCGCTACAGCAACTGCTGAAAACCGCAGGTGGTCACCTATGGCGCGGCCAGCAGCGCTTGTGAGAAGGGGCAACGCTGGGCCGAGGTGTGGAATGACCTTCAGCAGTTGGGAAATCCGGAAGAAGCTAGTTTGAAATGGGATACCCTCTGGTAAACTAACATGACCATGGAAAATCACCATTTTTATTAGTAAATCATCAACCGTAAATGGCAATTGTCCACAGTCATGTTAGTTTACCAGAGGGTAATGATGGCCAATTCAGTTTGGGGACTGATAAACCACGATGGGACATTATTTGAATGTCAACCATATACATATACCTGGATCTTCGAAAGGATACAAAGAATTGTCCGTTTGCAAGATTTCTGCCCTTAGGGCGGATTTCTTGTGAAGGAGCTGGAAATGGTCATGTTTGACTACTGTGGTCAATTTTGGATTTCATACCTTTTGGGCTGATCTTACTCTACTTTGCGTAAAAATGTGTCGATTTTTCTGGGCGGAAATTCCCGGGAAAAGGGCGGAAATTCCCGGGCAGACTCAACATGACTTGAACATGAAAACATGAAGTGGTAAGTTTTTCTTGAAATGGTAATTTTTATTTTGAAACGGGCAAATCTACATAAAATGGACAGAAATCAAACCAAAATCTGCCCTGGAAATCCCTGGAAAGAAATTTGTAACCAATGCCTGGATATGATGGTATATGCATCTGTCGCTATATATAAATATAAAATTATATGAAATTTCCACACTATTCTGTATCCCAAATTTGTTTAGGGGGGGCCCTACACTAATCAGAATCCAACATTATTGGTAATAACCAGTTGCTTCAACGGGCATCATGTTGCCTTGGATTCCACGCTTGCGCGGTGGAGCCGTTGGTAACATTGTTTCCGGCTTCAGCCGAATCAGCGCCTGTCAGGTCTTGGATTTACTGCAGCAAATGGGTTCCGAAGGTCTACAGCCGAACGTTGGATTCCCCAGGGTAGGGGAAGGGGTTCTTGCTTTGGTTTCTTGCTGAAATCCTGGAGATCTCAAAAAAAATTGTCTTTGCTTCATGAAATCCCATGTTGCTTGCTTAAATCCTCTTTTTCTTGGTTGTGAAGCAATCATAATTATGACCAATGGTGTCTTATAATTTAGATGGGAACTCTAGAGTTAACACAAGTGATGAATATGTGTTGAAACAAAAAACAAACACACTATTGTTGTAATTATAGGATCACTATCTCTAGTTCTAATCTGTACACGTACTAACAATCACCATAAGTTGTAGTTGTTTCCATCTACTTATTCCCAGCTATAGTTCCCCACCTGCCAGGTGAGGGTTGTTAGATTTTATGTCAGTTGCCTCCTCCTCCTCCTTCTCCTCCTTCTCCTCCTTCTCCTCCTCCTCCGCCTCCTCCTGCCTCGTCCTCCTCTCCTCCTCCTCCTCTCGTTGTCCTCCTCGTCCTCCTGCTCAACTGCGACTCGCGATCCACAGTGTTCGCTGTCGGACCTCAACCACGACCATCCACGCCCAGTGTTCCACTGCCCTGCCGGACCTCAACCACGACCATCCACGCCCAGTGTTCCCTGCCGGACCTCATGCCCAAGGTGTTCCCTGCCGGACCTCAACCGCGAGTATCCATGCCAAGTGTTCCCTGCCGGAGGGAATGTCAGATAGACTGCCAGATAGAATGCCAGATAGAATGTCAGATAGGATGCCAGATAGAATGCCAGATAGAATGCCAGAAAGAATGCCAGAAAGAATGCCAGATAGAATGCCAGATAGAATGTCAGATAGGATGCCAGATAGAATGCCAGATAGAATGCCAGAAAGAATGCCAGAAGAATGCCAGATAAGACTGCCAGATAGAATGTCAGATAGAATGTCAGATATAATGCCAGATAGAATGCCAACATATATGCCAGAATATATGTCAGATAGAATGCCAAAATATATGTCAGATATAATGCCAGATAGAATGCCAGAATATATGCCAGAATATATGTCAGATAGAATGCCAGAATATATGTCAGATATAATGCCAGATAGAATGCCAACATATATGCCAGAATATATGTCAGATAGAATGCCAAAATATATGTCAGATATAATGCCAGATAGAATGCCAGAATATATGCCAGAATATATGTCAGATAGAATGCCAGAATATATGTCAGAATAAATGACAGGTAGAATGCCAGAATATATGTCAGATGAAATGTCAGAAAATATGTCAGATAGAATGCCAGATAGACTGCCAGATAGAATGCCAGGTGGAATGTCAGGATATATGCCAGATAGAATGCCAGAATATATGTCAGATAGGATGTCAGAATATACTAAATATATGTCCAAATATACGTCCTGACATGTCATGGTGGGGATCACACGAAGTAGAGTAATTTTTAGTTTTATTGCCATTGTATACTATTGTCACAACCACTATCCCATTCCCATTCCTGTTCTGAAAATGTTTATATCCCGATAATAGACTATAAGCTATTAACTATAGACTACAACTACTAATAAGACTACATATAATCTAAAATAGAACTAGAAACTATAAGCTATAAACTATTGTGACTATACCTAATAGTTCTTCCCCTTTTTTCCACCGTTTTTTTTTGTTCCCCCAACGACATCCGCGGCAGGTGATCAGCTTCACGGCAGCAATGAGGGCCTGCGAACAGGCGCAACGCTGGGAGAAGGCCTTGAAGCTCTGTCAGGCCACGGGATGCTATGGTTGACCTGATTTTTGTTGGTTAAATATGGCAGTGTCTCAAAACCAATAGTACCCCTTTTTTGTTCACCTCAAAATAGCTGGGTTGATTCATGGATGTGAATAACCCCCTAAAAATGGTATTAATAGGTATTGATCCATACTCATATAGGAATGTGCTATGGGAATCATATGGGAATACAGGAAAATCTATATGTTAACAATGATGGACATCTCTAAGTTCAGAACTGATTCTAGCCATTGAAAAAATAAGTTTGCTGATTTCTGGTTTCTTTAAGGTCATGTGGGATGTCCAGTCGCCATGGTTGTTTCAATATGTTTCAATACTAATGTCTAATCTCATGACTTGGATGATTTGGGGTACCGCATTTAGGGAAACCCCTATCCGAAATAACCCATGCTCACGTTTCCTGGACATGGTTTTCTATTCGATGAATATTGAATTATATACCCAGTACCCCAAAAAAATATGGTTAATTCGCCAAAAAATGAACTCTGTTTTTGTTCTGTCCAAATATGACCATAACTTGAAACCAATAGCCATGTCGTAGACTTGATGGGTAAAGTAAGTTTTTTTAAGGACCCATGAAGGAGGAACAAAGAACCATGTTGATGAATTTTATAATTTTGCAAAAATGGAAAAATGGGAATATAACTTTGATCCATTTTATAGGAACAGTTGATGAGATATATTTGATATGATGATATACCCAACCGACTACTACGATATGTGGGTGTATCTATGGAGTACACCCACCAAAAGTCTAGTTCATCGGGATGATAATTGATGGATATCCATCTGGATAAATGATCCCCAATATGGTTGCTATGTTTTGGGTGTTTGATATCCCCAATAATGGCAAAGTATGGGATGTATATATATATATATATATACGTATTTATAACTATATATATAGTGGTTTCTGATGGTGAATATTGTAATTCCATGATAACTATAGATACTACTATATTTATAATTACATACTCTATATATATAATGGTGAATATAACACTCAGTATCATAGTGGTTTCTGATGAATTCTGAGGAGCGCCCGTCACGACCTCACCAGAAATGATGGTTAGAATATGTCGGTGCTTGGTGTCCCTCTTCAGATCCAACATTTAACCCTGGATTCATCAAACTTGGTGAAGTAGGTGTTATCCTCTGGTAATGACATTCAGAGTTTGCGAACTCGAAAATTGCCCAGTCGAAATAGTTGATTTACCCAGTAAACATGGTGATTTTCCATAGTTATGTAAACGTTTACCAGAGGGTAAGCGGCTTAGACCCATATCATGTGGTGAGTTTTTGTTATCCCCGGAGTAATGCCCTCTTTTTTCAACAGCTCATAGCTCACCGGTGTAGTCCAGGGTGGACAAGCTGGTGCCTACTTAGCGAAGTTGGTTACTCCAATGACTAGGAATTACAATATATATATATATACTGTATATAACCCTATATATAATATATTAATATAGTTAATGTTAGTGAATTGGGAGTATCATTCAAATAAATAATAGAGCTGTTTGCACGTCTCACGGCTGCTTAGTTGTCATGTTCCATTTGGGTGCAGGAAAAGACCTATTTGGGGTGCAGTTGGGATGAGTTTCGTGGGTATAGCCATGGTATTTCAATGGATATGGAGCCCCTAGAACTGTGGTGAACATATTTCCTTTGTCCACTGGAACTGCACCCGTTGCACATATTTTTTTGGGGATTCCAAAGCGGTGAAACACCTTCCACAATGCCCGCGAAGGAGATGCTGCAAGTCACGGTGGCTCCAGATGTCGCGTGGCACTGGAAACCACAGTTGAAAAGGAAAAAACAAGTTGATTGATTATCGTTCAAACTCAAGTGAAAGCCGTTGTTTGAATTTGATATCCCCAGGTAGGGCAGAACAATATGTGCGTCCTCTTTGGTTACTTTGAAGAACCGTATCTCCATCAGAACATTACCACACCCATCAAAACCATCATGCTAATTGGTGAAATTGGCGAAGATTCTTCCAATGCTGAGAGGTTAACTCCACGTGTTGGTTGGTTGTATTTTCCTCGAAATCTCAAAACTCCAGTTCCTCTGGACATTTCTTTGATTCCCATGTTTGTTGTTCAAAGTGTAACTGTTGTTGGATTCAATCCGTATGAATATTGCTCATATTTGCTGATCATCCCCTTATGAGCTCAACAGGAACAGCTTGCGGATCCAATGAGTTTGGGGTCTGTTTGCTCGGCACCGGGGATGTAGGTAAAAGCCATCCAACTTTTATAGAATCTTCTTCGCCCAGGGTATATCCTGTGGTAATCCAACCGGGTAGTCTAAAAAAAAACCTTAGTATAACTTAGTTCTAGATACTCATCAAAACCCTAGTTATGTCCATGAATGGTGCACCATTTTCCCATGGCATTGGCAATTTCGGAAAAGCCCCTGCTGTAACCACATGATTTTCCTTTCCATGTCCCATGAACATGTTCCCTCTTCATCAGAAACACACACCCGAATGGTCAGCAATGTACGGCAAGCCCAAAATCCTATCTGGCTGGTGGTTTCAAACATTTTTTCCATAATATATGGGATAATCCTTCCCATTGACTTTCATATTTTTCAAGATGGTTATTGCACCACCAACCAGCTATAAAATTGGTGATTGCACCCAGTTCTCGTCAAATCGATATCGGTTCTTGGCGTTCGCCCGCTGGACACCTCAGGTGATATCTCACAGGAGCACCTTCCTGGCCTTGAGTCAGAGTCAGCAGCCGCGCAAGGCGGGCGGTCGCCATGTTCTTTTTTGAGTTGGAATAAGGTTCTCTAAGATGAATGCCTAGATTTGTTCCTGTTTTTCTTAATTAGGACTACATGTTTTTCGTTGGACGTGAAACATTTTTAGTTCCAAACTAATCAGCTCTAAGCCCTGGTTCTAAGATGTTAGTTTTGGTTGGTTTCACAAATGTGTTGTGTTTTTTGGTATTTGGGAACTGATTACCAGTTCTGTGAGCCTAAAAAACGATTGGAATTATGTGGACATATGTGTACAGATATGCAGATATACCTGGTCTGGAAACTGATTCTAGGCCTAGATGCTGTTCCACTTGGTTTTAATATGTTTTAATATGTTTTATCCATATTTTCCAAGATATAATAATCAAGAAGTAGATAGAATACCCACATTTTTCGGCCTCCGGAGGTCTAATTCATAAAATCAACACGTACTGCAGGATGATTGTACACTGATCAGTGCTGACTGCCTTCCACCTCAGTACCCATCAGAGATGTATAGTACGGACCCTCAAAAAGAATCAAAAGGATAGAAATCTGCAGGTTCCTACTCAAATAGTGATGAATTCAACCGTTTCTGACGCTTTTTGTGGATTGCTCTAAACTATTAAATGGGGGGTTCCTAAAATAGGATACCCCAAATCATCCAAGTCATGAAAGACCATGACTTAGTATTGAAACAAGCATGGTGACGACTGGCAATTCCCCCCATTTTAGGAAACCTCTTGAAACCTCCATATTTTCATTGGGATTCCCCTAATGGATTGTTGTAGTTACATCCCCATCAACTATAGTTACAGTATATATATATATACACAGTGTATATATATATACACAGTATATAATATATATATATATATACACAGTATATTACAATTATATAAATTATATATATATTATATATATACATAATTATATATATATATATAATTTATATAATTATAAATTATATATATATATGTATATAATTATATATAATTATATATAATTATACATATATTATATATATATGGAGGTTTCCTGAAATAGAGGTACCCCCAGATCATCCATTTGAATAGGATTGTCCATTATAAACCATCCAGCTATTGGGATACTCCATTTATGGAAACCTCCATATGTATAGTTCACTTCCCAACACCTTTCCAGGCCGAAGCTCTGCTGGCACAGCAAGTGGCACGCAGCGTGGAACCGGTGGCCAGTAAGGAGGCCCCATGTTCGATGGGTTTGTCCATGGGATATACATCGAAGGTGCACATTATCCCGGCAAGAGACCCCAAACAGTGCGGGGGAGTGGGAGGATAATGTATGATGATGTGGATGATGATGATGTTGATGATGATGATGATGATGATGAGAAGAATCCTTGCCATTTCTAAGTAACAAAATAATCATATGTGTATGGCAGTGCATGAACTAGGAAACATTCTCACCCCTTACCAGTGGATGGTTCAAAACTAAATACAACACATTCTCTGAAAAGTCGCTGATACGCTAGTTTTGACCCGCCCATGCCCGTATTGAATCGTATTGACAGAAACAGGTAATTGAATATACCTTGTAAGGAGCATATGTGATAGAACAATACGTTGGTCACAAAAGCCCAAACTCGTAGGATTTAAATGATGCTTTAATCAATGGGTAACATTGGTAGACCAATTGGTTAACCACATGTAACCACCTCAAATTGCTCCGATTTCTTAAGGTTAAAACAGGTTATGAGATGAAACATGATGGAACCCATTGCTCCTGGTCCAGGTGACTCGGAGGCTCCTTCAGTAGCTCAGCAGGGCAAACTAGCTGGGTTTTTGCTCGGTGAGGGTCAAACTTGGGCACGAAAATTGGATGAACCAACTAGGGACCATAAATAACAATGTAAAAATCAGAGATCCGCAGTCCCCTGGATCTTCAATTTTGACATGTTCCACAAATCTACCCAATTCTAAGGGGTTACCAAACAGTTTTTTAGTAACTCCATGACCCATGGTAGAACGGGAAGTCCTTTGCCAACATCCCTTTTGGACTTGCCCATGGATATGATGAGAAATGATAAGAATCTATATATGCTGTCATGATGCAACAAAAACTGCCTGTTGACCATCATAATCATCATAATATCGCACAGGAGTCTCAACAAACAAACAAAGCACTGGGAAAGAGAACACATCCTTCCGAATTCTGTGGCCCTTCCTTTCAGTACAGAAAAGGCTTTTATAAACCCAAACACACTTTCTGATTTATGGATATAACCGATATATATCCTATGATTTATGGATATATCTATATGAAAATACATGTGTATATATATATATATATTTAAACATCATCATACATATATATATATATGATATATATATATATATACATATGATATATGATATATATATATCATATACAAATATATATATATATATATATGTATATATTTATTTATTCATAATCACAATTGTTCTTGTTATGTAAACACCCTAACTTTCACGAAGATAATCTTAGCTCGCAGCTGAGGCCAATGGTCGAAGTCTTCCACAGCATGCCATCGATGGGACATCTGGAAACGCTGGGATTCGTCTGGCAACCTGGGCAGAAAACCCTAGGATAAACATATGGAAAAAACATGAGGGAAAAACATGAAAGAACCATGGGCTTCATCACATTCCGAACATGATCTACTGTTTTTTTGGCGGGTTTTTCCAGATATATGTCGGTTTGAAGGAGGGCATATGACGATTCCCAAAATGTGGTGTACGTCTTGAACCCATGTACCTATTCATATCAAGCGAGTGGGGCTGAATTCTCCCTTGAAGCATGAATAATTTCGCTGCTCGTCCAGACCCTGGACTCCTCGACATGTGTTTTGAAACGCCATGAGTTTCCAAGAGTCAAACACAACTATATAATGAATACTAATTAGTGAAATATAGGTGTGCAAAGGCGCCGAGATAGCTAGCATAGACTTGACCTGGATGTGATGACTCTCCGAAATCCCAGGCTTGGAGAGAGAATGTCACTTGGCAATCTAGGGACCCTACGGTGGGAATGGACGGTATTATATGTTTCTGCAATTTTTATGTTTCTGCCAAGGGCCAAAAAAAAGACTTGTCTATGGTTGGCTGGTTTGGAGATCTGAAACATTTTGGCTGTTGATTTCACGGCATGATCACGGTCCACTGAAGGCCTGGATACTCCCTATTTTGTCGATTGCGACCCTCATTTTTGGCACCCAAAACTTCAAGCTTTAAACTCTAGGAATTTCAACTGTGGTTGGGTTTCTTTTTCTCCGTTTCCAGTGATCAATTCCCACCGTTCTCCTGCAGATCCTGTGCCAGGTCTGTGACTTAGGACCTCACTTCACCCGGGATGCCGCGGAGCAGATCCTGCCGCGAGGTTGGGAGGACCCACAGCTACCACAATGGTTTATTGATGAAAAAACCAGGGAAACCCATGGAAACCATCTTTTGCTGATAAAATGGTTGGTTTTACATGGAAACTTGACATGGACATCACACAAGTCATAAGTCATGTCTGATAGATGACTATCATGATGGTGAACAGTAGCCCCCAAACTTGTATTATATTTTTTTTTGTTGCCAAAAGGACATCACTGGGGCAAGGATCTTGAAAAGTGTACCCCCAACTTACCCTTCAGTCACGGATGTCAACTATTGGATTGTCCTCCTGATTTGGGTTTGTCTGAAAAATATGGAACTCCCAAAATTTGATGTTTTTCTGTGCGTGTTGTCCAATCTTGAGGGGACATAATTACCCGAGATACATGCATCGATACCTTATTTTCAGACGCGCATTCATCTGTTTTCCCCTTTTTGACCTACGATGAAGTGTCCAAGGCTGAATTTGTTCAAACCACCTAGAGAAAAACAGCTGAAGTGCCAGCTGCAGGTCGCGCCGAAGCTGTTTGCAGCAGACACATTTTGGAGAAGTTGATGCAGGCAGGGAAGGGCTGCGGCGGCTGCGGTTCACTTGTAATGTAGATCATGTTGGTGGATTGCGTGTTGGGGCCCGATTTTCCGAACTTAAGCCAAAGAATGGCGCAGAAAATTATAATTAATTAATTAACTAATTAATTAATTAAATACCTATATATAAGATATATTTATGGTTGTTTATACACATTACATACATAGGGCATATGTGCATATATATATAATGAATATATACATATAGACATATGTATATGTATATGTTATATCTATATATATATATTTATATATATATATATATATTTGTGTTTTGCATACATCATGACATGCAAAGATGATGATTGTCATTTGTTGAGGATCTGCCTTCAGTGGAACCAGTAGCCCAAGATCAGCGCCTCGGCTCATCGCGCTGTTTTTTTGCACCAAAAATCTCGGATTCTTCCTTTGAATATGGGGATCTTATGATTGATTTCTGATAGCTAACTGATATTTATGTTTCTAGTCTTTATATAATATGTGGTGTTGTTTTTTTCTCATGTGATTTATGATAGCTAACTTGGCTTCGTTCACTGACATGATGATTGGATTTATGGTATAATGAAGTAGTTTTTTGGGGTTAAAACCGAACTTAGCAAATTATAAAGCACCACAAATAGTAAGTACTTGTATGTCCCGGTATGCAAGGGATAATAACTGTTTTTTTTAAAAAAAACGGACATAGAATGGGAATAAAACTATAGGACCCCAAAATAGATACAAAAACCGGAAACCCTCGTGAACTAGATGTCATGTATAACATACCGGAACCATGTTTCTATGATTTTGGGGTTTGCTATAGTGGATATTACTGAATTTATATCAATCGGATACAAAGCAGCAAGATGTTTATCTGCGGTGTCTGAAAAACAATTGGGCATACCACCAACATGACCAAAACATTACTAGGGAAGATCATGATGAAACATTGGATTTGGATATGGGAAAATCTGAATTTGTACCGACATGGGCTATGAGTGAAAATATGGTGTGCTGAGATGGGCCTGGCGGCCAGGGTTAGACATCAGTCAACTAACTAACCATGGCCCATCAAGGTAGGGTTTATTCAATTTATAACAACCACTACAGTACTGTAACTGTAAAGTTGGTAAGTCTGGAAATGTCAACCCGGATTATGATTAGTAATCCGTGCTGTTGAACGGTAATTATCAATGTAGGGTTGACATTTTGATTTACACTTGGATTTTCAAATGTGCTCGCATGCTCATGATATGGTGAAAAAGTATGGTTGCAAATGATAAGTAGTATCTAAGTAGTATGTTTACCGTAGCTTCGTGTTGTTTGAACGGATGCAGATTCATACGTGGCAGGAACCACCAGGCAATGAGGAGATCAGCAGCTGTGATCTTCCTTTTGCATATACCTGATATGGGCGCATTACTTTTAGCCATAGCGATACCCTGATATGAATGGTATGATTTCTGGGTATTTGTTGGCTGGTTGTAGTCCTCCGCCCGTGTGGTTTTGTCTCGACATGTCCCAAAAAAGGGAAAACACATGGTGGGAACATATTTTCCAAATCATAGCCACATCAGACCACATCCACATCCCAAGACTGTAACTGTAGCTGATGCAGCCGCATTTTCCTTGGCGTTTCGCCTTTGGAAATCACCCAGGCTTGCCTACACTGCATGGGATTTGCGCAGCAGGAGGTTGGTTTTTGCGCTGACTTTGGCGGGTTTTTGTTGGTCGATTTGATTACGAACAGGTCCAAAGGTCCAAAGTCCAACAAAAAGTCTGTGGATCTAAGGTATATTAGATTATTATAGATTATTAGGGTATCTCTATGCACATTTTTTTGTGAGCCAAAAGAGATCCCTTGAAGAGCGAAGAACAGTGAAGTACATAGCATCAACCAGCTAGTTCTTGGCGAAGATGCCAGAGCATTGCTTAGATCCCGTCCTGCAACAACTATCTTTACATATCTTTACTACCCAGCCAGTTATATCACTGAACGTCCCCCAGCTACCCACGCTGAACAACTCAGGTGGAGAAACCGAGAAAGCAGCTTGCTGGGCTATGCTGCCATGCGAAGAAACATGCAGAAAAGGGGCCCGAATCTGCGCAACGCGGTTTCAAATCTACAACACTGACTGGGGAGAGGTACTTCTTGACTTTCACAAAAGACTGAACAAAAATGGTACAAGTACTAAACGTATGATGGAAATGTAGATACCGATTTGGATAGTTGCATTTCTGCAGCACCGATACAAGAAGATGCCACCGGACGATCAGTAAGCTGCCCTATGAACTCCGCGAACGATTGGATTTTTGGTGGGTATCGTTGGATGAGTAGTTGATCAACCAATTTACAGCTAGGGGTGCTATCCTGGTTGGTGGTTTCAAACATTGTTTATTTTCCATAATATATGATATATATTTATATATATGGGATAATCCTTCCCATTGACTTTCATATTTTTCAAGATGGTTAAAACCACCAACCAGTATCTTGTAGAATCAAATGGGTATGGATCAATACCTATTAATACCATTTTTAGGGGAATGAACATCCATTTACCAGCTATTTTGATGTTCACCAGGGGTACAAGGTTTTGACACACTGCCAAATCAAGGAACCACAGGCATCATCCAAATTGGCGATAACACAACTTTCTCTGAGCCTCAGGCGACTCGCGAATTTTCCATGGTTAGTTCCCGAAGTTCTCATGTTCGAAATCATTTTGCTATTTTGGAATCACTAAAGATTCACAACATGATTATGATATATAGATCAATATGATTATTATGTGTCTTTATAAATTAATATGAGTTTACAACTTTCAATCACGGGTTGAACCACTGTTCAAGTCGGATGAAGCACCAAGTGCTGCAGGAGTCCGCAGATCACGAGCTCTACGTCCTGAGTGAAGAAAAGTTTCTCAGCTCAGCATGCGGCTGACGAGTAGTATATACTAGAATCTGGATGAATTATAATGGCCTGATCGTGACGTCACTGAAATGATGGTTCATAAGGGGAATCATCCCCAAATGGCCTTATTCAGCCTTTCAGCTGTTTTAAGGTCAGTGAGTCATTATAGTTCAGCCAGATAAAATGGGCGATGCCACGAAGAAACTGGGATTCAAACGGAAACGCTTACGCCTCATGAACATTCTATAGTCATAGAATTGGATGATGGGAAAATTTACAGGAAAGCCCTATATTTGATGGTAAAAAACAATGGTTTCCTGTAGATTTTCCCTTAAACCAATCCATTGATATAGATAATGCTTGATACAGAGGTTGCATCCAAAAAAAGATGATCTGACGATTACGCTTGCTTTCAGAAAGGCAAGAAGAAAGCTTCAGCAACACGAGATTTGCCATGAGTATTTCAACATGTTTATTCTGGTGGGGATGAAAAAACACCAGTGACATTGGATCACCATTTCCGGGATTTCCAATGATTTCAAGAGGCTAATCTCCCAAAAATATCCAAAAATGGGGTGTTCTATCTTTTTGGGGTGTTGCTACTTCAAAACACGCCGCAGAGAACTGGAATCTAACGGGGGGTGCCAAATTAGATTGTCCCAACAGGCTTGTATGTGCATCCCACTTAGTAAGTAGTTTATAACCCATATAATGTATATATATATATTATATATATATACAAGCCATATAATCCCATTAATTAATTAACTTGGAGTATATCCCATTTACTAAGTGGGATGCACCCCCAAGTAAGGATTGGTGCTTGCTAGAAGTGATTCATATAGCACAAGATCTGGGTCACAGATGTTTCAGTATCAAGGGGGTAATACGTAACTTGGCACTTTTTTGCGATGGGAATCATTGCCGGTTGCCATTTTAAGCGACACTTATTTGTTTCATTTCTTATTTGTTTTTGGGGCACAAGATGGCATAAGGGATGGGTATTACTAAACATGCCCTATCCCGGTCATGGTGTTCTCAATCTCACAGGATCAAGGGTACAAAACATGGTACCACCGTAACTGATCAATGTCTGAAGTTCACAGGTTCCAGAGGAACTATGAGGAAACCACGGGCGATGTGGAGACAGAGACTGGCTACAAGGACTGGCGATCACAAAATTCTGATTGGTCTATGGGGACGGCCTGAAAAAACGTCCTGACGTTTGGTAATAATAAAGGCCCCTAGAGAAGAATCATAAAGGAAACAAACATGGTAAAGCATGGTAAAGCCATGTAAAGCCCATACTGGATGGTGAAGACCATGAAAAATCCATATTGACATTATATTTGATGGTGAAAAACATGGTTTCACCATTCACCTGTAGATGTTTTTCAGAAAACCAATCCATTGAGCTGCGCAGCTGCGCCAGAGGAATTTCGGGAGCGAGGCTTCAAGCCCTACCGGCGTAAGGGCCAGGTGCCGCCGAGCTGGAACGACATTGAGACAATGATGGGTTGGATGATGGAGGAATAGCAGGTACCCTCTGGTTATGTCAAAATAGCTATCGAAAATGGCCATAGAAATAGTGGATTTTCCCATTAAAAAATGGTGATTTTCCAGTTCGCTATGTTAAATTACCAGAGGGTAATTACCATGAATTACCTCAAAGCCCTGGGATATTCTGGGATAAACAAGATAGGAATCTGGAGAAATTCCGGAATTCTTGTGGTTGCATGATGATCGTGATATATCGTGATCCCAAACGACTTGATGGAGACGTTGATAACATGACTGTTCGTCCCAGGAATGGTGCTTAACATGACCAGACTACCTGGTTTTTTCGATATGTCAGCTTTCTGGCTCCGCAGTTCACTGTCAGTACGACTACGCTGACGTGGATGCCACGTAGTGCAAAGTAGAGGATTCATGGAAGGCTGCACCAGGCCTGAAACACATGTCCTGATGTGGTGGGAAACAAAATAAACAAGGAAGCCACAGATGCGATGCTAAGCGCATAGCTTGAGATGTGGTCAAAAAGCAACAACAACAATGTGTTGAGTGCATAGATCACATCAAATCTCGCTGATATCACTACATTTCCGATACAGGCATATGATATCATAGCTCTATCATGTTCTATCTATTTCTATCTGTATCATTCTAGTATCTCAATATCTTTACTTATCTCTAGTATATATATATATACAGAACCTATATCTATACTATCTATAAATATATGGTTGTTTGTGAGATAGCTGGTAACTGCGGTCCAACTTTCCTGCTTGGCCATGGAGTTGCAATCTTTGGAGCCGCCAGAGTTGGATAAGGAAGAGCAGGAGCTGACCTACCCGGACCTATGGGGGGGTTCCATAGTCATGGGGGTACCCCAATAGCTGGATGCTTTATTTATAAAAAAACCCGTTGAAAAATGGATGATGAATTTTGGGTATATACTGTACCATTTCAGGAAACCCCCATCTGGTAAACATTGACCATTTATAGATGGAACATGGGCCATTCATAGTGTTTTTTTAAACAGTTTGCTATGGAAAATGGCCCATAAAAATAGATGATTTACCATGATCTTTTACCATTGTGATTTTAACGCCATGATTTTCCAATGGCGATCTGACAAATTACCAGAGGGCCATGTGTTTTAATGATGGATTCTTCATGATTTTTCATCGTTCTTATAAACATGGATTGGTTTAAGGGAAAATTTTAACCGGAAACCTCCATATTTAATGGTAAAAAAACATGGTTTCCTGCAGATTTTCCCTCAATCCAATGACTGAATATAAACATGGATATGTTCCAGCTTTTCCATCGTTAGGTTGATGGTGTCGGACACGGTCCTGGGATTTGGAGCCGGGAGGTTGCACAACGATTTTCGTGAAATGGTGTATGTTCATATTGTGATTAAACTGGCTTTGTGTGACAATATAATGCCCCCAATTTTTTTTCGCAGTTTATTATATTCTTACGACTTTTTTTCCAATTTAAACTCACCAGTCTGGGGTATTCCGATGTTTTTGACAACCACCAACATTATCTACAACTGGATGTGAGTAGTTTTTGCTCTCTTGGCCAGCAATCACATAAATTTCAGCTGTTGGATGTATAAAGCTTCGCTGGTGTATGACTTGTCAAGTCTTTGTAGCAACACGAACAGTGTTTAGCTTGACATGTACAATCGTTGCATATTCATATATATATATAATTATGGTATAATACAAGCATACACAATGCATACATTGACATGTTGTTTCTTTATTTTCATTGTTATTTTTAAACGTACATCATGTTGAGGTACAGTGACGATACAATATTATATACATGTAATTCCTACTGTAGCTGCCTGTGACCTGCTGAAATGGATGCAATATACAGACTTGTTCCAGATGATGTTCGTGCTAAAGCCAATTTTTCTATATTTTTCTCAGGTCAGCAAACTTTCATCCTTTTGGTGATGTTTCGTTCTAATCATTCTAATCCCATAAAGATCTGCTGCAAAAAAGGTGCCACTGGTCCAAGATCGTTCACTTGGATCCAAAGGAGGCCCTCATTCGTCACCATGAAGCTGAAGAGCTGTTGAAGAAGCTCACTCTCGAAGAGAAGGTCACGACATGACGAAAAAATGTCAGCGCTGTTTGGTTTAATGTTGCTTAATGTTTAATGAATGGAGTATAAAACAGATGGAAGATATATACATATATATATATAGATAGCTTAGCAATTCTCAGTGTGTTGATGATCGAGGGACAGGGTCATGCTATCTTATTCCCATTGTGACGATCATCGTCCACTGGTGGGATCTGGACAACTGGACGATTATGGTTATGGCTGGTAGTTGATTATGGTCAAACGACAGTGATTGTAAAACTATTTTCTATGATATATTTGATATAATAATTACTTTTACTATGGCTGCCAAGTTATAAATTATTTTTGCACAGAAGATGCATCTATCAACCACAAGACAATGAATATGTAGATACAAAAATAAAAGTGCAGAAGATAGGGTTAGCTGTTTAAATATTGTTCACTGTACAGTATACAAGCATCTATGCTGGTGATCAGAAATTTGTTCTGTGTCAAGCACATACTTTTTTATATACATTATATATATATGATATATATCCATACAGCTGTTGAAATAGTCCTGTCAAGATATGGTATTGATTGGAGCTGCATAGATTGGAGCTTTGCGACGCCCAGATCTCATGCGTCCAGCTCAAGACATATTATTGTAATTACGTCCGCTATATCATGTTTGGCATACCTCGCATCATACATTGAAACCTCGCTTAGTTAAGGAGATGTTCACAATGTGGCATGAAAAAAAACATAATCCTAAACTCATAATTTATCCACATAGTTGGATAAACATACATAAATTGGATATGTTTGGATGGATATACACATTGAACAAACAATCCTAAACATTTCAACATACATTGGATATGTTTGGGTGGACCTCACGGGCACAGCGTAGGCGTGCCGTGGCCGTGTTTATGCCATAAGTTTGGGGGTGTTCAATACGACCCAGCAATCTTTGAACCATGGTACAGAAGATTATCTATATAATTCTATATTGTTGTTGGTGTTGGTGCTGCCTGCTATGATTGTTAGTTTTATCAATGTAGTAACTAGTATGATTTACATTTTATTTACTATTATTTTTGTACATATGATTATGATAACTGTCATTTTGTTTATTCTTACTACTGCTATTCCTATTAATATTACGATTAGTGTGACTAACTATTATTATTGTTTGTATTGTACATATTTGAGTAGTTGTATTATTGTTATATTGTTTATTTTCATGTATGTAATGTAAATGTAATGTAATGTAATGCAATGCAATACAATGTCATGTAATGTAATGTAATGTCATGTCATGTCATATCTTGTCATGTAATGTAATGTCATGTAATGTATGTAATGTATGTATTGTAATGTAATGTCATGTCATGTCATGTAGTGTAGTGTAATGTAAAGTAATACAATGTCATGTAATGTAATGTAATACAATGTCATGTAATATCATGTCATGTCATGTCATATCTTGTCATGTAATGCAACGTAATGTAATGTATGTATATGTATGTATAAATTTTGTTACTACTAATTAGTACTATGATTGTTATTGTTTTAATGCTTATAAAATATATCGCCATTTCAGGGTGATGACAATCACATCGCCATCCAGCCAAGTGTGTTGCGAAAGGTGAGCCTTCTGACTGGGAAGACGATGTGGGAGGCGAGTTCTCAGTGGAGCTGGTAGCCTCTGGGAATGACTAAGAAATACCATATGGTTATGTTGATTTCATGAGTTTTAATGGTGATTTTAATGGTGATTTCTTGGGATGCAATGAGATTTAGCCTCTGGTAATTTGTTACACTTTGCGAACTTGAAAATGGCACATAGAAATTAATGGAAATAGTTGATTTACCCATTAGGAATGGTGATTTTCCATAGTTATGTAGACGTTACCAGATAGTAAATGATTGTGGGTGATTATATGGGATTATTTGGGATTCTATCCCAATCATTCCATATCTATCGAATATATTGGAGATTATCATAACCCAGTATGGGAAATCCTATTAACCAGCCAGTATAATCCACGCAGGGATTGAACACAGCTCACTTAGTCATCCGGTGTTGCGTTTTTTTCTTAATTGTTGTATTTGTGATGACGACTCACATGATCTTGGGGTAGATGGAAACAAATTCAACAGAAGCAATATACATATAGCAACCCCAGGTAGCAAAATTCATATATATATAATATATCTATAATCCCGAAAATAATGGTAAATTGAACCTTTTATGCATTTTTTTTGTGATTTATATACACTGTCTATTTCCTGTTGTTGACTGCCTCATGTTCAGCCCGCGGGCTAATCCTGGCGATGTTGGTCTCATTTAAGTGAGGCAGGGAAAAAACTTGACCTCTGAATGCTTAGAACCTTCTAGAAATTAGGGATATAAACTAGGAATACACCATTGGTCCATATAAAATCCATATAATATCCATATAATATCCATATAATATACCTGTGAATGGATGATTCTCAATTCTCATTGATACATATACAAACTGGGTAAGCCAATTGGTCAGTGATTGGTGAATGGTGGTAAAACAGAGAGGCATCCTCCACATATTTGGGACATTTTTGGACCGTGAAAGGCTGGTGTTTTGGGACATTTTCCGGGGGACTAGTTATCTAATTACCCTCTGGTTATGTCAAAATAGCTATTGAAAATGGCCATAGAAATAGTGGATTTTCCCATTAAAAATTGTGATTTTCCATAGCTATGTTAATTTACCAGAGGGTATCTACTTGTACCGAATTGTTCATTTTGCAATTTTGCAATGTTTATTGTAGCTAGTTTGTCTAGCCAATCTCACGTTGGGATTGTTGCTACTAGTAGCACCTGATCCGCAGCTTGGCTATACGTACCGATTTAACCAATTTAAGCTATAGGAAATCTTCCAGAAGATACACGTCGTGTTCAACTCACAACATTAGCAGTTTGGGAAACAAGAAACAAGGGGCGTCCAGCATTGTCTAGCCACGCAAATGGCATTTGCCACATCAAAGTGCAACCCATGTCACATGGACCACCCAGAGCCCTGGAGCTCACAAGGTGGTGCCCACCCAATTATGTTCGTTGGATTATAACCCCATTCAACGAGTTTGTTCTACCCAAAATCCAATCCTGAAATGTCAATGAGCTAAACCAACTTAGCTATCATACATCACATCTAAATCCCATGTATATAAATCGATATAAATTCATCTAAATCAGTATGTTTAAGTTTCATAATATTCCTTTTTCAAATCCATTCAACTATCATAAATCAGCCATACATTCCCATGGTTTTTCATCGTAAATTTACCTCCCGGTAGGTTTTTGTTGGTGCCCAACGATGATTCCGCTCCCTGCCGGCCGGCCACGCGTGGCGAGGCCGGCGGAGTTCCACGCCTGAATCTTCCCAGACTCCGCTTTTCAGCGCCTGGGTGAAAACGCGACGGTTGGGCCGTCGTTGAGGGAAATTGATCCAAAAAATGGAGATTTCATTGGAAGTGACCGTCAAAGATGTGAAAAAAGCTCGGAAACACTGAAATTTGATTGGGAGATACTGGGATACAATAGGTAGTAGTTAAACATGCAAAGTTGTGATTTTACATGATTTCTCCAACCAACATGGGCAATTCATCGACACACATTGAGATTGAGTGGGATATACCAAGAAAATCCAAGAACAATAGCAATTACAATAACTATATGGGTACTTGGGGATACAACGGGGATGCACAACCAACTTAGGTTAGATTACAGTAGACTAGATAGATAAAAATAGGTTACAACCTCACATCGCTCACTGTAAATTTTCGTGTTACGATTGTGGAAACGGCTAAACCATGCTAAACCATGCTAAACCATCCCCAGGGGGGGTTGAAATCTGCTGTAGAAATGTTGGCAAGTTCCCAAGGTTTACTAATATAGATGGATGATGGGTCATTGTCCAAGCATCAATGTTCCAATATGTGGTACTCCGTACCAACAATTTCCCGGAATGCCAATCATATGTATTTAATACGCTATGACAAACTATAATTGTAGTAAGGTTCTGTGAATTTTGCCATGAATGGATATGAATGGGCACGGTTTATTCGATATGTATTGTACTTGGATGTGCATCCCAGCTACAAATTGGTAGTAATTATCCCATATACAACTCTCAGCTTGTTATTTCATATGTGCCAGGGTCAAAATATAGTCTGGTTTCACAAAAAAAGAGACGGTTTTCCCTGATTAACGAGGTTGCCGTACTATTTACCACCTTTAAGGAATCCCCAATGAAGGGATGTATGACCATACTACTCCACTAATCCCAGCAAAGTCAGAAATCAAATAACCATCTTCGATTGATAAACACTTGCAATATTCAGTTGGATTAGCTTGTTATTCCTTTTAAATAGCTTTCTATGCATATTAGATCATATGAGCATATATGCAACTAGTGTATTGGGAATCCGTAAACGATTCCTGCAGAGCTGGCGTCCACCAGCTATGTTGTACCATAATTATCCATAATTCCAATCCATGAAGTGCTGAAGTAAACCAACAATATGCATCAATACCCATGACGGATCCATGGTGCTGCTATATATGGTAACATGGATCCCATCAATATACCCCCTTTATGTTAGCATTAATCTACCAGCGCCATGGATCCGTCATGGGATATGCATCAATTAATGGCCAGGATGGACCACACGGAGCCAGAGGGGAGGGTCTGCACGGCACGGTGGGCGCTGCATTGGCACCGTTGCTTGCCATGCGACGGATGATGGCGATGATGGCTATAGATACCCTCCAGGAAACTAACATATGGGTATGGGTCAATACCTATAGATACATTTTTAGTGGGATGAAATGCATTTACCAGTTATTTTGGGGTTCACTAGGTACTAGGGTTTTGACCCATCCCGATATGGTGGCGACATCCTGCGATGGTAAACATCCCCATTGAAATTCTATGATGTACAGTGTTTCATAGGAATCCCAATAGTTACCAACTGGTGCAAGTTCTTGTCCGAAGGTATGGACAATTACAATGTCTTTTTTCTCAGGTAAATCATCCAAAAAATTACCCATTGTCCATTGCTATGTTGAATTATGTAGAGATTACAGGATATACAGGACGGTTTGTAGATTTCTGTACAGAGTGATGTACAAATTCATAGGCTGGGATTCAATTCTTTATCGTCGATAGTATAAATGTTAAGGCTGTTACGGGTTAACAGAAATGGAACTCCACAATTTCCATGGCTTCCGTCGATTTCCCACGGAAGCCATGAAGAATCCGTTGGGTTTATGACATGTTTTTAAGTCGTCTTGATTTTAAGGATGATTTGGGGGGAACACCCCTTTAATGGACATTGAATGTGGGCAAAATGATGACCAACACCAGAGGTTTGGATGATTTTCAGTGGATGAGAATTGTTTTCCAACATATTCTGATTATGGTCATTTTAATTCATTGTTTCGAGCATTAGGGGTCTTATTTTCCAGGGGTTCGTAAATGTCCTGTTTGGGGGATTTGATGGATTTTGAACATCACTTTCAAGTATTTGTTGGTGATTATATCCCCAATAGTTGGGTGATGTTCAATTAGGACATTTACCCATGTTTTCAACTAGAAATCGGATGATGACTGGCTTAATGATCCCAACTGACTGTCCTATGCAGGGGGTGAACTGAATGACCCATGAATGACTGGTGGCTGGGGGTGGGTCACCGAACGTCTTTTAGCAACTGGATGACCCAACGTCTACAGCTCAGGTGTTTGAGCGCCTTAGCTGCCACATTCAACGAGGAGGGGGGGAAAGAACGAGGATTAAACAGCCTGGCTTTGTAAATGCACCCACCCCTTGACCCCAAAATTTGTGAAACACCCCCAAATTTGTGGTCCCAAACATGTCTAAATCCATGTAAATCCTGACTAAACCATGGCTTCTGGGAGGGTCTTTAATATTCGGTGGATGGGAGTATACAAGATGAACAGTGGAACAAGTTGCTATCATTGGTGGAATGATCAGACCCAGCTAAGACTGAACTTCAGCCATGACAGGAGTGTTGCGTACTGTTAACATAGACCCGGGCAAGCCGGCGGCGGAAGTTTCCCAAACATAAATGACCTATAGTTCAAAGACAACCTGTCCCGACCGTGTCCTTCCCTCGACACTCCACACCTCACACTGCACACTGCACACTGCACTCTTCGCACTCCAAACTTCAAACTTCACACTCCACACTTCACACTCCACACTTCTCACTTCTCACTGCTTCCTTCACACTCCAAACCTCACACTTCACACTTCACACTTCACACTGCACACTTCACACTTCACAGTCCACACTTCACACTTCACACTTCAAAGTCCACACTTCACACTTCACAGTCCACACTTCTCACTTCGCACTTCACACTTCACACTTCACACTCCACATTTCACACTTCTCACTTCTCACTGCTTCCTTCACACTCCAAACTTCACACTTCACACTTCTCACTTCGCACTTCACAGTCCACACTTCACAGTCCACACTTCACACTTCTCACTTCTCACTGCTTCCTTCACACTCCAAACTTCACACTTCTCACTTCGCACTTCACACTCCACACTTCACAGTCCACACTTCACACTTCTCACTTCTCACTGCTTCCTTCCCACTCCAAACTTCACACTCCAAACGTCACACTTCTCACTTCGCACTTCACACTCCACACTTCACTCACACTTCACACTTCACAGTCCACACTTCACACTTCTCACTGCTTCCTTCACGCTCCAAACCTCACACTTCACACTTCACACTTCACACTGCGCTCTTCGCACTCCACACTGCACAGTCCACACTTCACACTTCTCACTTCACACTTCTCACTTCTCACTGCTTCCTTCACACTCCAAACTTCACACTTCTCACTTCGCACTTCACACTCCACACTTCACAGTCCACACTTCACATTTCTCACTTCTCACTGCTTCCTTCCCACTCCAAACTTCACACTCCAAACTTCACACTTCTCACTTCGCACTTCACACCCCACACTTCACTCACACTTCACACTTCACAGTCCACACTTCACACTTCTCACTGCTTCCTTCACACTCCAACCCTCACACTTCACACTTCACACTTCACACTGCGCTCTTCGCACTCCAAACTTAAACTTCACACTCCACACTTCACACTTCTCACTTCCCACTGCTTCCTTCACACTGCACACTTCACACTGCTCTTCACGCCCCACACTTCACACTGCTCTAAACCTAGGTGCAACAAAAAAACACTAGCGCCAAAATGGAGAAAATCTGCTAACAAATCCATTTCGCAGCCTTCATGCAGCCAGTCCAAGACGATGTACGAGATCCAGCTGCAAAAGACATTACGCATGCAGCCGAAGCAAGAAGCAACCTTGACGCAGCCATTCCAATGCGATCTGCGGAGACTGAGTTGCAAAACACAAGAGAACTACGCGCAATGGCATCGGAAATTGTAGCTCCAAAACCGGATCTCGACGCCAGAGCGAAAAAAAGACGATTTTGAAGCACTTTTTAAAAAGGATTTTTAGAAGGAAAATCACTAGCGCCAAAATGGAGAAAATCTGCTGACAAATCACTGTCGCAGCCTTCATGCAGCCACTCCAATACGATTTACGAAGTCCAGCTGCAAAAGACAATAGTATTACGCATGCAGCCACAGCATGAAGCAACCTTGACGCAGCCATTACAATGCGATCTGCAGAGACTGAGTTGCAAAACACAATAGAACTACGCGCAACGGCGTCGGAAATTGTAGCTCCAAACCGGATCTCGACGCCAGAGCGAAAAAAAAAAAAAGACGATTTTGAAGCACTTTTTAAAAGGATTTTTAGAAGGAAAATCACTAGCGCCAAAATGGAGAAAATCTGCTGGACAAATCACTGTCTCAGCCTTCATTGCAGCCACTCCAATACGATTTACGAAGCCAGCTGCAAAAGAATAATATCGATTACGCATGCAGCAACAGATGAAGCACCTTGACGCAGCCCTTGCAAGGCGATCTGCGGAAGACTGAGTTGCAAACCCACATAGAATACGCGCAACGGCCGTCGGAAATTGTCGCTCCAAACCGGATCTCGACGCCCAGAGCGAAAAAAAAAAACGATTTTGAAGCACTTTTAAAATGGATTTAGAATGGAAAAATCACTAGCGCCAAAAAACGCCATTTCGTGCGGGAGACTTCCTTCAAAACTCCATCGGCAACTCATCCACCAGCACCACTTGCAATCCCATTTGCATTGCAGGAACGATCCTACAGTTGCAAATCACAATGGAATTCTATCGACCGCAAATGCACGAAACACAGGTGAAACCCCATTTACAAAGCGGAACCGATCCGACCATGGTCCGAGAATGATCCGACTATGGTCCGAGAATGATCCGACCACACACGAGACCGTCTCGCACCCGTCGCACCGCAGAGGTAGATCATCGACGTTCGGGGACGCACTTTGTCTGGAAAAACATAGGGTTTCGTGCATCTGCTATCTCTCAAAAACACATGTTGTGCGAGACTTCCTTCAAAACTCCATCGGCAACTCCTCCACCAGCACCACATGCAATCCCATTTACAGTGAGGGAACGATCCTAGAGTTGCAAATCACAATGGAATTCCATCGGCAACTCACCCACCAGCACCACTTGCAATCCCATTTACATTGCAGGAACGATCCTACAGTTGCAAATCACAATGGAATTCTGTCGACCGCAAATGCACGAAACACAGGTGAAACCCCATTTACAATGCGGAACCGATCCGAGCATGATCCGAACATGATCCGACCATGATCCGAGAATGATCCGACCACAGACGAGACCGTCTCGTACCCATCGCACCGCAGAGGTAGATCATCGACGTTCGGGGACGCACTTTGTCTGGGAAAACATAGGGTTTCGTGCATCTGCTATCTCTCAAAAACACATTTCGTGCGAGACTTCCTTCAAAACTCCATCGGCAACTCCTCCACCAGCACCACTTGCAATCCCATTTACAGTGAGGGAACGATCCAAGAGTTGCAAATCACAATGGAATTCCATCGGCAACTCATTCCACCAGCACCACTTGCAATCCCATTTACATGGCGGGAACGATCCTACAGAGGCAACGATCCTACAGTTGCAAATCACAATGGAATTCTGTCCAACCGCACATGCACGAAAAACACTTGAAACCCCATTTACAATGCGGAACCGATCCGACCATGGTCCGAGAATGATCCGACCATGGTCCGAGAATGATCCGACCACACACGAGACCGTCTCGCACCCGTCGCACCGCAGAGGTAGATCATCGACGTTCGGGGACGACTTTGTATGGAAAAACATAGGGTTTCGTGCATCTGCTATCTCTCAAAAACGCATTTCGTGCGAGACTTCCTCCAAAACTCCATCGGCAACTCATCCACCAGCACCACTTGCAATCCCATTTACATTGCGGGAACGATCCTACAGTTGCAAATCACAATGGAATTCTGTCGACCGCACATGCACGAAAAACACTTGAAACACCATTTACAATGCGGAACCGATCCGACCATGGTCCGAGCATGATCCGACCATGATCCGACCACACACGAGACCGTCTCGCACCCGTCGCACCGCAGAGGTAGATCATCGAGGTTCGGGGACGGACTTTGTATGGAAAAACATAGGCTTTCGTGCATCTGCTATCTCTCAAAAACGCATTTCGTGCGAGACTTCCTTCAAAACTCCATCGGCAACTCCTCCACCAACACCACTTGCAATCGCATTTACATTGCGGGAACAATTTCTTTGACTAACTCGTTCCCTAACGAACTCTTTCTTTGCTAACTCTTTCTTTGCTCTTTCTTTGACTCACTCTTTCTTTGCTAACTCTTTCTTCGACTACCTCATATATCCTGACTAACTCTTTCTTTGACTAACTCTTCCCCTCACTAACTCTTTCTTTGACTAACTCTTTCCCTCACTAACTATTTCTTTGACTAACTCTTTCCCTCACTAACTCTTTCTTTGACTAACTCTTTCCCTCACTAACTATTTCTTTGCTGAATCTTCTTTGACTAATCTTCCCTCACAACCTTTCTTTGACTAACTCTTTCCCTGACTAAACTGTTCTTTGACTACTGGATGTTCATGGTGCTTGGTAAATGGTTATTAAAGTTAGTAAGTATTAGGCGATTTAATATGTGAATTAGCTGTGTTATGTGACATAGCTAAGTTGGGCTTACGTGGGTTAGTAACTGTGATAAATCATACTTAGTAATTCTGCTAAGTGAGACTTATGTAACTCGTAAGTCTGACTTAGACCAATTACGCTATCTCAGCTAACTCTACTAAGTCTGACTTAGCGGTGGTGGATTTATGGATTTAGGGGCACTGAATTTAAGAATGATGAATACAAAAATAGATATTTTTTTGACGAGAAGTTGATATTTTTATTTTCACTAGAGGAGAATAATGATAAAAACCATATCCCATGTGAAACTAGAGAATGAAAGGCGAAAGCCTATTTTAAAAAAACGTTTGTGAACATGTGTTTTTGTTCATTGCTCGGGTGAAATAATTGCAGCCTGGTGCGCTTGGAGGTGATGATATAGCACCTGCAAAAAAAACAACAAATAGATCATCAGTGCACAAAAGGTTGCGTGTTCTTTCATGCGCTCTGTGAGTTCCATGTCTGGAAAAAAAATGCTTCTCCGCGAGTGGAAACAATTTTCTGCGCGCGCTTTCTGGTCATCGCTTCATGCCCTTTTTCAAGCACAAGTTCGACTTGGACTCAGCTTCCCAAAAACCAATTTTTCTGCCCGGGCGGTGTTTCGCGAGCAGCTCTGCGATCTCATTCCTCAAGTGGCTGGGATTATCTCGCTTCTTTTGCCTTTCTTCTTTATATGATATTTTCTCAATACTGCAAAATCGTTTCCTTTATGTATATGGGGGATGTACGTATTTATTAAATACATTAAAAAATGCACATAAAAAAGACCGAATCATATTGACCCTATACAAAAGTACAGTATATGAATAATGCATTCGAGCTGCACCAGCTTTTCTCCAAATTTTCTGCGGACATTTTTTCCCCAGTAGCAGGGTTTGTGAGGGAGCCAGCGTTTCTTCTCGGATTGGGTAGGTTTCCGCAAGAGCTTATTTAAGAAGGCCAACGGGCGAACCAGCAACTGTCCTTTTGCCATGGTCGATCACCGCAGGTTTAAATGTTTGAAGTGAGATTGGGCCTGAATGCTGCAGGTATTTGAAACTAACATAGATGTTTGGACAAGTGCATCGTTTATACAATTGACCCTGCAGGGATTTGCTATCCCGAGACAAAAAAATCTGCTGTCAAAATCATCATTCATGCAGCCCACGTGCAAACATGTCGAATGCATCAAGTTTTCATCGCCTGAGTGTGTCTGCTGCAACATATAAAAATCAGGCTTCACCCATACAACGGCCTGCATGTGGCTTGATGCCATGCACACCTGCCGCATGCAGCGATCGTGATTGCAGAGCCATGCTCGCAGTCATCTCTTGCAGAGAGGTTGCTCTCGCAAGTTCAAGGTAATGCGGTGAAATGATTGAATGATCGTGTCAAGGGGTTATTAAGATCAGCCAGGTTTGACATGGTATAAAAATCAGATCGAGTCGCTGCAACCATGCAATGATCCTGCGGATCGCGTGGCAGCGATAGATTGTGATTGCACATGTTGGCAACTATACAAAAAACAGGTACTCAAATTTGCAAGCCCACACGGTCAGATCTTTTTTGATTGGACTGAAATGGCTCCTTTCCGAAGGAACACGGCATGTGATGCTGCAATGGCGTGACGTTGCCATTTCATACAGGAGGCGCACCGGACCTATCTACGGCAGCTCTCACTTCTTCTTGTTTGGCCGGTTCTTTGGATGGGGCACAAAGCCGTGCTTCTTCAGCTCGTTTGCCGCCACCGCACTTGCCTTCTCAACTGCGTCCTCCAACTTGAAGCCTTGCTTCAAGAACTTGAGCTTCGCCGCTGTGTACGTGCGAGAGTGGATGTTTTTGCGGTCCATTTTGAGACCGCCTTCCTGATCTTTCTTGATTGCCTTCGTCTCTGACTTGCTTGCGGTCGACTTGGCCTTTGCCTTTGGATTGCATGTGGCTGGTTTTTTCATGGCCCGTTCTTCGAGGGCTCTCTCCATAACCTTCGCCTGGCTGGCGACCATCGATTGAGCCTTTTTCTGAAGATCTGACTTCAAGTCTTTCTCGTCTGGCGCACCCAAATCGAACAAAGGAATTTTCGGTGCCTCCGCGGCCTTCGCTTCAGGTTCACTGGGCGGAACCTCTTGCTCCTGCGAGTCATTCTTCGGAGACGATGCTGGTGTGCCAGGGCATGAGGGCGATGCACGGTCACTTCGCTTCCCAATCATGGTGATGGGAATCTCTTGCTGCCCGCTGTTTGCCATCATGTTCATCATCTGGAACAGCATTGGATTTGAGGCCATCATCTGGCACATCTGGAGCATCCCCTGCATTCCCTGCATCTGGTTCTGCATGTTGCCGGGCATTCCCATCTGAATGCCTGCGCCCATTGCCGAAGCAGGAGTGGCTGGAACCATAGACCAAGAGGAAGCCTCTGTCTTTTCATGCAATGCCTTCTTTGACTTGCGGCACCCAAGATCTACGGATGCTTTCAAGGCAGCTGCCTCTGCCACGTTTTGAAGAGACACTGGTGGGTCGTCAGCAGCATATGCTGACTCCAAGAGAGCAGGAGGAAGTTCACCTGGCTGGTTGGGAAACCTGAGCAACCATGGGCTGGGCTTGGGGCGCTTCTTCGCACCTCCACGGACCAAGCGCTTCAACTCGTTGATGAAGGGCAGGTTCTCGCTTGGCTGCACCGTCATGCCATTGGCACAACCGGCAGCAAGAATGATCTTGTACCCCGGCTCAGTTGGCCTGAAGAAGCCAATGTTCAGGGTGCGTTCTGCCAGGACCTGAATCTTCATCATGTTGCCCATGTCTGGATCGTTTAGTTTCTGAACATCACTCTTGCTCAGAAATGCCACAAATGCTGGGCAATACTGCTTGCCCTCGCTTCCGGTCCCACCTTCATCTCGGGAAGCATCGTTCAGGATGTTGACCATGCTGGTCTTCATCTCTGCACTCCAAGGACCCTTGAAGATGAGGTCCTGCAGCTCAAAGCATTCCTCTGCGGAAATGGTTTTCAGCTGCCGAAGGCGACGCTTGCAATTCTCAGCCTGTACCCCAAGGACTTGTTGACGGTCAAATGATTCGTCGTGACCCAGCGTGTCCACCTGGGCTTGGACCAAGGCCTGGATGTGAGTGATATCAGCCTTGATATCAGAGAAAAGGGTCGCCATGAAATTCTATATGTATACACCTTATACTGTTTCTTTGCAAAATCTTTGAGCCACAGCTGCAAGCAATGGGCCATCCCTTGCTTTTATGGGAACATGAGGCTCCAAGTGCTTTGCGAGTTGAACTCTGCAAAGTGCGCACAGCGACATCTCTGCTGTGCAAGTGTCAAGCAGCCGTTGAAGCACTGCCGGACATATCGACAAACAGTAATTGCACTGTCCACTTCTCGATGTGTCAGCTGCCACCAACAAATGACAGTTCGCACCTCTGCGGGATCGATGCATCCACGAGCCTGGCATGCAGGAACGAACAGGAACCGATACAATGATGCAGCTGTGGGGCATATATGTAAATCGATTTGAACAAACAAAGATACTTATATTTTTCAATTCCTTTTTTTCAGTAATTTGTATTCACTGGACATATAAGCAGGGGAAGGTGATCTGAAGCAAACCCTATATCACGCAAGTGCTTGCACCGTGGGCAACCTGCTGACATGGTTCACAACCCTGACAGTGACACGTGACTTCTGCATGCTACCTGACTTTTTTCTGGCAGCTGATGTTTGAAATTGGCATCAAAATGTCTTCAGAGGTACATTCTCAAAATCTTCATGGTGCGACTGTCGCGTGCAGACCATCGGATTCGTCAT